TAACTAGCTCTAATGTAACTTTAAAAATTAAAAGAAAAATTTTTACTTGCTACTCAATCAAATATAAGGGTATTTAAGCCAACTTTAGTGCAGGTGATTATCCTGAAACCTAATTTATAAGCACCGTCTTGAGTTTCCTCCTGTCGTTTCATAATTTTCGCTGCACTTGTCCCGTTTAAATTATGTAGATTTATGCCCACCTCCGCCTTTTTGTGGTCCTTCCTGGAAAGATCCTTCCGAACGCCTCCAACTCGGAGCTCGATTAATTGCTTTTGCAGCTTCCGTCGCTTTTCACCCGCTTTTCCAGCCAGCCGCCTGAGGAAAAGCTTGCCAATGAAAAATGTTTAAACGCCCACATGGCGGCAACGGCCAACTTTTAATTGAAAGTCATATTCAATTTTTGCATATTAAATTATTCGTGGCCCGCAGGGTTCATCAGCTGCCATTCGCAGACGAATAAAAAAAATATGGGAATAAAAATAAAATGAAAAGCAGCTGCGACAAATACAACATCGAGTTGCCCTTGAGGACTATCCCACAACTTCCGTTTCACATTTGTTTTTGTGGTGGAAAACTTCCGGCATTCGAGGCATGTGACATTCGGTATTGAATGATGTGCCAAGTCATGTGAATTATGCTCTCAAAAGTTTTCCAATCGACTAAATTTGAAGCCAACAATAGAATCGAATGGCACTCGAATTCCCCCCAAACATTTGACACCTTTTTCTGTTGCATTTCGGGCTAATTATAGTTGGCCTGGTCGGATTGACATTTGCAGGCCTGACTAAACTCACCGAACTGACTAAACTAAAGAGGGCGCCGATGCTATTCATAGGAATGAGGTTGTGCTGGTCTGTGGGATATTGCTGCCCAGTGATCCAAAATCTGAATGGGGTGTGATAGATATATGGGAAAACGGTCAAAAAGATTGTAAAGAAAATGTATCTTTGCCAATTCCATGTCTTTAAATAAAATATACAGATTAGATCGTTTCTATCGACCCTAATAACACAAATCTTTTCTTAAAATTTGATCAAACGATATAAAAATTTCTTCAATATCAGGATTAATTGTTTCTTAATTTTTTTATCATATCCATATAATATAACTAAAGACTTAATAATTATAGCTTTTTTTTAAAATTTTTGATATTCAATCCTGAAAGATATGTTAATTTTTTTAAGTTTATATAACAGATAAATTTCTTCAGTAGCAGGATACATTTTTTTCTAAATTTTTGATCATATCCAAAGAACATTACTAAAGACATAAAAATATTTCCTTTGTTAAAGATTGTTAATATTTAATTCAAAAAGATTTATTAGTGCTTATGAAATAAATAAAATAATCGCAATGGAATGTGATTTGCTAAAATATAATTTCTAAATATGTGTTGTGCAATTTATTTTATGCAAATAAACATTGTTATGCGATTTCCCATACATCTATTTTTGATTTATTCCACAACCATGGGATATTTTCCAAAAATGCGCATATCTTTACCACTGTGCCAGCATAAATTTCCCATTTTTCCTCAAACGTGTGTCTTTTTCCCCCTTTTTTTTCACTAAGATGTTTTTTGTGTCGCTGCTCCACATTCAAATGCTCTGCCACAAATCATGGCGTGCAATTTGTCAGCTCATTTCGGTTTGGGTTTCATTTTGGCCCGCCTTTGTTAAATTATGATGACATTCAAACCTGTCAGCAACTGCCTTGCAAAGTCGCAAAGAAATTGGGAGTGGGGAGTGGGAATGGGAATGGGCCTTTTGCTCCACTCGAAGATTTATTTGGATTGTGTCGCAATAGTTTCTTGGTAGTCCATGCACCTGCTGTGCTTTTTCCGCAGCCAAAAAATCGGGGTCGCTTTGTCGCAGAGAGCTTCTTCTATTTTCTAGATCATTTATCATTCTAGTTGCGAAATTTTAGCCTGCAGTTAGTCCCACAAACAGGAGCATTTATTTTTGCACTCACAAAATAAACAAAGTGAAATATAGGGAATAGATAGATGGGCCAAATCTTCAAATACCCTACAAATATTTATTGTTAGGGAAAATACGTTTGTATAAAAACTGGAAACTGAAATATATCTTTCAAGAATGCAAGTTGTTTGGTTTATGGAATTGTATAAAATTGTTTAGTTCATAAATTTAATAAAACGTTATTCAGTAAGCTACTTAACCCCTGGAAGTGTATAAAAAATAGTTGCACTAGAGCTAACGCTCAATTAAATACAAAATGGTTTTCATGTCTGGGCTATAAAGTATTTATCTATTTCGGTTTTGTGTGTCTAGGTTGTTCGGCATCGTCAAAAGATTTTACACGCCACTATTCTATTTGAATGTGATTCTTGGAATATTTTCGCTTGTAGTATGTGGAAAATGCCATAAAATTGGAGCATCCCATGGTTGGGCGCCATTAACAATAATTTAATTAAAACGGATTACAGGGGCTGCAAAAAAAAGAGATTTGTGGGGGAGTCAGTTTAATGAGGCGGCTAATTGAATAGGTTAATAGTAGCCAATTAAATCTAACCATTACAAAAACCATTCAATGTCACTGCAGAGGGAAATAAATGGAATAAACTAAGAAAAAACAGCACTCAAAATGTCAACCTTGTGGTAATCATAGAGCAAAAGTAGTTTTGCAAAAAAAAAGATAATAGTTAAAAAAGTGAACAAAGCAAAATGCATTCAAGCGGGAATTGTCAGCGACATCAAATTAAATTTGCCGCCATCGCCGACGTCTGGAGATTGTGCGCGGGTGTAGCAATCGAGAGCCTGTGAAAGTGAAATTTGAAGTCTGAAATCGTGATATCGATCAGAGCAGCCTCACACACTCTCAGGAAAACCCATTCCCGGATCAAAGGAAATTTATACAAGAGTTGGGAAAATAAAAACCAAGTCAAAATGGGGGCCCACAGTTCCAAGGAGAAACTGTCGCGTTCATATTCCGAGCGCTATATCCACAGCCAAATGATCGAGCGCGAACGCTTCGGCAGTTTTGGCAAACGGGCCTCCAAAGGCCTTACAAAAGGTGAGTTTTTGGGGTTTACGGGGGGGTTACAGCTAAATGCTAATGACTTGGATCGTTATGGGATAAGCCCACACCGGGGGCATTAACTTGTAGTACAAACAAAGCCAGAGTTGTGTAAGCATCAGCCATCTGATCTCAGAAGATCTGGTGTATGCACCTCTTAAAACTACCAATTAAAATCAAATAAATGGAAATTTATTTTTAATTGAAACAAATCAATTTATTTAGGATTGATGTACTATCTATCTTGTATTTATTTAATTATTATTATTTAATTTATTAAGCTTAGCATACAATGTTAAACTTAACAGTAGGTGTATATGTAAGCGAACATTTAGAGATATGTAGCTATAAAAGAAACATATTTTTTTGAGGGTGTTCAGACTGCAGCTAATATAGTTTGCTTTGAAAACCTAAAATCAACCGAAATTCTGAAAAAATACGTAAGTAAATACTAAGAAACCTTGTTTTTAAATTATCAATTTATGTATCAACATTTAAATTTTGTTGTGGAGCTTTAGGTATAATATGACGATGATAGACGTTAAAAGAAGTACAAACATTTTTCTTTAAATTCATAGTTAAAACATTTCCAAATTATAATTTTTCAGTACTAAAAATTCCATAAAAGGCAAAGGCTGTTTCCCACCAATTCACATATTCCATTTTGCGTCAGCAAACTTAATCCTTTAGCACTTTCAGACTTTTTCAAAATTCCAACTGCTATATGTGACTGCAACTGCAACATGCTTATCATTCGTGAAACGCCACAAAAGGATTACGTGACTCGGTGCAACGCTCTTTGCAGATAAAAGTTTTTCATTTTCATTTGGCCTAAGCCCCGCGTGCAACTTTTATTTCCATGTCCATGTCCAGCACAATTAGCCGTCAGCTAAAATAAAATTTATTACTACATCCATGGCGCAGCTGCTTCTGTGGTTTTCCACTAGGAAACGCATTTTCCCCGCTGGCTCTGTGGATTACCTGGCCCTAAAGTGGCTAATATGGCACACAAATAGTGGCTAACAAGTGTAGAGTCTTAGAAACTGGAACTGAAGATGGTTAAACCGACAATATGAGTTCGTTAAGGAAGCTTCCAGTTAAGGTGAATTGAAGTTGATTAGAGCGGCGTAGAGCATGAAATTTGATTGATTGCCAAGGCAGATAGATAACTAGATATTTCGTGGAAAATTAGATTAACCTGTGGGAAAAGCAAAGAAAGTTGTCTGAAAAATACAAACATTTGAAATTTGGCTATAATTAAGTTATAATTATCTAGTGGCGAAACAGGTTCTTAGAAAAACTTTTACTATAGTTGGTATACTTGGAAAAAATTAGAATGGTGTATCTTAAGTAGTTTAGGGTGAGAGTTGATTCTTACATCTTTCTACAAACTGCTAGAAAATCTAAAATATTTTAAAACTTAAGTTCTAAATTTTTTTTATTGTTTCTGAAGTACTGCCTTAATTAATTCTCCTAAGAACTAAAGTGCACTTGAGAAACTAAGCAACTAAAAGCAATGCTCTTCAAATCCTATTCGATGCCTTTCATGTGGAACTCGTACTCCACTCCCGTAGAGAACTAATGGAGGCGTACACTGGCATAATATAATTTCACCCTTTATTTGGATGTTATGTACTTACATCTTGGGGGCAAGCACTTCAATTAAGGAAACGCTTTGTTTTAATTCACAAAATGTTAAAATGCAAATAGCGTACTCAGACCCCCAACTGTTTTTTGGGGGGAGAAAAACAAGTGTGATTTTCCCTTTGAGTTATTAAATGGGAATCCGAGTGCATAACTCAACTCAACCCAACCCAGACACTTTAAAGCCCTACGCTTCATGGCAACGTGTTTGCGCATAAATTACACATCCGCATCCGCATCATCCATATATCGATTGTAGGGAACGACAGGGCACTTTACCATACCATTTTGTTGATTTTCTCCACTTTTGTCTCTTGCAGGAGCTGCCAAAAAGCGTGATGTGCGCAATCTGAGCATATCGCCAACCGATCTGGGTCCGCCACCAAAAACTCAGCAGACGACCAAGGGACAATCAACGCGCAGCAAATCATCCGCCACTCCCACGCCCACATCCATACGTAAGTGCAGAAATTCAGTATACTTTGAAATACGTTGAAAACTTAATGGTCATAGCCATATATTTTCGGGGTGCGAGCTAATCGATTTGGTCCAAAAATGATTTATTTAAAATGTTCTAAAGGTGTGAAGAAGTATGCTGTGATTAAAAGATAGTCGTAGAAAGTATTGTTGCATACTTTTAGACACCTTTTTGGATGACATCAAAAACTAAGCTTTATTAAATATTTTTACAAGTTATATATGGGAAACTTATTGTTCAAGCTAAGACCTTTAAAGGTAAAGAAGTAGAATGGATTTTATAGAATGTTGGTTAGAGAACATATGACTTTTTAAGAGATGCAGAGAAAAAAGATGGTCGTCTAAAGTATAATTGCATACTTTTAGGCACCTTTTTGATTAAATTCAAAGATATCAAAGATTCAGTGTTAAAAACTTCATATTTTATGTCTTGAGAGATAACAAAGTCCGCAGCTAGTGCAAAATGTTGCATAAATAGTTGGATATTAAAATACAAAGATATTTTACTTACACTTTTGTATTTAAGATACTTTAAAGTAAGAGTAACTAAAAAGTATCTAACTACCAAAGCTTGAGTTTCCTCCATTAAAACTCCCATGAAAACTGACACTGACATCTTTCTTACTCCGCTGCAGACGTAAAAGCCTTTCCACAGCTTCTAGGAAATCCCCCTTTTGAAAGGTGTCAACTTTTGTCAAGAACCGCCCCTGCAACGCCCCAACTTTTTCTCTTTTTCACAAGAGTTATACACGTTTAAATGCGAATTCATCGCTCAGGTGAAGTGCTCAACTTGTTGCCCTCAATGAATTGCTGAATCTGTCCACCTGGCCGATCCGTTCCTCTTTTTTCCGCAACCGTAAAAGTTTTGTATCTTTTCTCTGGTCCAGCCATGAAGTCGCTATATTTCAATTGAGGGCGTGTGTTAGCTCCCAGTTGGTGGAAAAAAACAATTTAGCGCTCCATTCCCACAGAAAACTGGGAAAATCTGTGCCAGCTGCAGTTTAACAACAGCTGTTGCCATGGTGACATTTTGTCTACAGGCTCCTCGCAGCTTGCCCCAAACTCCTGGCCAAATCTGTGGCATATGTGTGCCTTTGAGATCTGCGCAAATTCGGCATCGTTGACTCACTCCCCGTGAGTCATCATCGGTCCCCCATCAAGTTGGAATGAGTGTGGTAATTGATTCGATGGAAAAATGCCTGGAGTTACTGATTGATTCATTGATTTTGTAGAGATGTTCAGGGGAGCTCATTAGTTGAAAGAACAAGAGGGCCCCAATCTGAAGACTTGATTTGATAAACAGTTTTAAGAACTTGTTAATACCATTTAATAATTATGCTATTGGAAAAAAAGACAAAATTTATAAGAATTTAAATAAATATAATTTAAGGGAGGCCAAAAAACATTGCATTTCTTAAGAAAATGTATGTAAAATTAATTAATACAATAGTGAAATAGTGCCAACCCATACAATTTCAATTTTACCAACGAAATATTATAGTTACTTAATATTTAGGAACTATAAAATTAACTTTACTGTTTTTAATAGAGTTAATCTTCTTTTACAGATTCAGTATAGGTTAATTTTACCCATACAATTTTTTAATTCTTCATAAGATTGAAGTATCTTGAACTCAGCAATAAATTATAGCATATTTCACATATTAATTAAAACTTTTTTGGCACATGTTCAATTATCAAGTTTCGAAAGACGAGTCTCCATTATCGTTATTTTATAAAGTTCATATTAGACTCATTTCATACGTGTCGAATTTTGATGACCCCATAATTTCTGTTTGTTATGTTTATAGAAAAGTGGGTCAATCGAAAGCTGAAACTCAATAAATCATAAATCATGAAAAATAACACTCTAGATTATACGATTTGTAAAATTATTTTTAGAGAATTTTAGAAGGGAACACTTAACTGCGAATCATTGAAGATTTGATTCCCCTTTTTTTAAGATACATTTTTTTACATTTTCCCTGACTTTGTGCGGGTTCCATTATTTTGTTTACGGTCGTGCCTGGGTCATGCAAATGTTTGCAGGCCTGCATAAATTAGCCTTAATAGGGAAATTCATTGTGTTCGCCTGCCGAGATCTTGCTAAATTGCCTGAAATGTCGCAGGGCTGTGGATAGTATTTCGCTAAAAAAAATGCCTACTCCTCCTTCGCCTCTAAATTCCATTCTATTTATAAAGTAACTGGGGAAAGAATATAATTTAAAATTACTTTTACCCCGATCACCGCTTTTAGAGATCTTTGTGAACATGCTTATCGCGCCATTTTTCCATTGAGTTGGTGGGGGAAAAAAGAAAAGCATGAAAAACGATGGTGAAACGTGTTTTGCATATTGCAAGAGGGAAAAACAAGCTTTGTTTGTGCTTTTCGATCACGCTCTCGTCTGGAATTTCTTGTACTAATTAAGATTTATTTTGCCAACATGCAATTTCTAGCAATTAATGCCTGCAGAGATTAATCAAAAGAGAAGTTTTCATTCTAGTCAGCAGTTAGCTTATGGTTTAATGTTTGTAAGGGGTTATCATTCCAGACATGCCTTAAATTCCTTTAAATAGATACTATCTCTAGCGATAAGCAGGAGTTCTATTAGCACAACCATCATGAAGTGCAATTCCCGCCAATTGGCCCATAATCGCCATAAACCATTCAGTATTCACTGGACAACTTGGTGGGGCAAACGTGCTGGTTTTAAGCCCACACCACACTCCGATTAACCCACGTCTGCCGGTGGTTTTGAAGAAAACACCTAAATGATTATTGGCATAATTGCGCAAGATCGATTGAGTCGTCGCCACTTTCGCGCCTCTTTGTATCTTTAAGATACAAATGCCCACGCACTTAAATTGAAGAGTGTTGAAAGAAATCCGGTTGAAAGCCGGGATTTCGTGGATACTCCATGGGTGGCAGTGGTAGTTTCAATAAGGTTCAGAACTCGTTGCTGACATTGACATTCGTGGCATTGTAAACTCTTTTATTTCATTTTTTCTGGCCTGCACAATTCCATTGTTTGTACTTGCCGGGTTTTTGTTTTTTGTTGTATTTTTTCCCCGCCTAGACTTGTACTAGCCATTTATGGCTTCTGGCGCTGGTTTGTTTGGTGTTTTTGTTTTGTTTTCCTTTTTGCTTTTTTTACCTTTTTGTTTTTTGCGGTTAGCATTGAAACCGAAGCGGTTGACAAAGCGGGCTAAAAAGATTTCAGCACGAGCTGGAGAATTGCGGAGACAATCTGGGAGATACGACGGGTTTTATTCCCCAGTGGCCGTGAGGTCAGTGGTGGACGGTGCTATCCGCATAGGAGAAAAAAGCAAAAGCAGCGAATTATGCTAATTATTCAGGGAAACCTGTATCTTTTGCAAGAGCAAAGAGAAAAAATGCAGATACCAAAGATACTTATTTAAGAGTGAAAAATTTAAGAGTTTTTCCTTTAGGCCTAAGAGAGATCTCTAGCAACATCAACTGCTTGCTTACTCTTTGGCAACATTTTCATTGGCTGAACTGCTTGATCAGCAACATTTCAATGCTTGTAAAATTAAAGGCTAAATTAAAGTATTAGTTTAAGTTCTACTGAAATTGCTTTGAAAAGTTGAGTTAATTTTTAACAATTTTGTTTTTGATTTTACAGGGTTCAAAATCTCACAACAAGCTAAGACCTCTTTTGCAACATTTTTAATAGCCTAACTGCTTGATCATTCATTTAGTTTTACAAAGATAAAAATCCATCTCTTTTGTAACATTTTCAATGGCTTAACTTCCTAGTCGGCAAACATTTTTTATGTTTATAAAATTTACGTCGACAATATTTTACAAATATCAAAATCTTACTACATGTTTAGCAATCTTTCGTAAAATTTTCAATATTAAAAACATAAATATTACAATGAAATTTTATAAATTATATAAGAACCAGTTTACTTAAATAGCATTCAAAAGTTTAATTAAATTTAAATATTTTCTTCTTAATTCTCCAAGAGAAAAGATCGAAACCCAGCAACATGTTGAGCTCTCTCTTCCAGCAACATCTGCACTGCTTGCTTACGCACCTGCCTTTTTTTAAAGCCCGTCTAAAACAGGTGTTTCTGTTTTGGCATTCTTTCCCTGTTTTGCACCTTGAGCTGCGGCAAATAAACGAATCAACGTTGCAGGCCTGGAAATGCAAACTGGTTTTCCTTTGATTTCATTAATTTGGTCAAATTATGACATGCTGGGCGGCCAGCGGCTCGGGATCGTTATTTCCTCGGTTGACTTCAGACTCGGATTCAGATTCAGATTCAGTTTCAGATTCAGATATTTGCCTTTTCTGCGCTCCCTGCCATTTGCTTACTCAAGTGCATTGATAGCCACTTTTTTGTATATTTTTATCATAATTACTGGACGCAGTAGGCATGGCATTAAAGTTCTGATCTTATTTTAATAAACTCACCCCGAATAAAGAACACATCAGAATTCTTAGCCTATTTCCACATTAATAAAGTATATCTTTGGAGTCCACGTTTTTATCCTTTTTGTAATACTTCGAATGCGAGGAGGGGGCGTTCGGAGTGAAAGAGATAAAGAACTATGGGTTTACGTGGATTCTTTCGTAAGCATTTTGGCAGTAAAAATTCAACGAGAAGTATAGAGAAAAATTATAAGGAAATTTATGAAGAGAACGATGGGATAAAAAGTGAGTGGGTTTTTAGTAAGCTGCCTGAAAGTATGCCGTGATTTTGAGAGCTTTCTTATATTAAAAAATATATTTATAATGATTGTCCCTCTTATCATTGCAGATAAACGTTTAAATGGCACTTTTGGCAGCCCGGCTGGAATTACAACACCCCTCAAAGGAGTGGCCACAAAATCAAATAAGCAGCCACAATCGTCGAAACTTAAATCAACTGCGATTACCAAAAGTTCCCCAATTGTCGGCGTTTCCGAGGGTAAGTGTCAAAAAAAAGAGGCAAAAAAAGTATATTTCAAACAATTTAATTACGTGCGCGAAGGGAAATCGAAATTGGAGCACTTCAAATTGATTGTAACCCCATTATATATTTCCTATTTCCCCTTTTTTTGGTCAATCGAAAGACACAAAGTGAAAGCATACGAAATTCAAGTTTAAATCAAATTAATTTTTATCTGAACGTGCCGCCAAAAGTTTTTTGTCTGGCCAAAAAATTAGTTACAATGGCACAATTGCCATTGGCCATTGGCCATTGCAAAATGCTCCCGAGGGGACAGTTTTTGGACTTAAGAGTTGGCTAACTTTTGTAATTAATATTAAGGCAGCTAATTAGCCATTTGGGGATTAGGAACTGAGCTTCTGAGCCACACGAGCCGTCTATATAGGGCGTTACCCCATATATCTAGCCACCTGTTCTGGTGTCAAATGCGTAGCACGCCTCAAAATAATTCCCAATGTCGAAGTTAACACTTGGCTGTGGGTTCGGCTTTCGTTTATAAATATATATAAAGTATTTATACACATTAGTAGAGGTTGCATTAAGGTTGGGCAGAATGCCACTAATAGGCGGTGATTATCTTTATGGGATTCGTCTATACGACGTGTTTAACTAAGTTGGTCTTCATTGCTGGGGGTTACAGTAATAAGTGGAAAGAGTGGGAGTTGTTAGGGTATATTGTAATACTTTATAGTTCTTAACAGAAATCCAAGTAAAAAGTTAGATAAGAAAAAGTATTTAACACCTATTGACATTTATAAAGCCTCTATGATAACTCAGTTTAATCTCAGGCATAACGACATTTTATAGTTTCTAGTTTAGTTCTAGTTTAAAAAATATCAAGAAATGCGTAATAAAATATTATACTTTTTATATATTATAAAATATTTTGCTTATAAAATATAGTATTTCATAGGGGTTACAGTCTGGACTGCTTACTGATAGTAGTTATAAAAAGAGTAATTACTATTGAAGTTTGATTATTAGTGACAGTTCAGAATCAGAATTCAATAAAAAATATTTATTTAAATGAATAAAATGTTGTATTTAATATTTTCTGGGAAATAATTCTACACTGCTTATTTACAGTGCTTAGAATAAAAGTATTTCAAGTTTGGCCAATCTATTCGCCCATAAATTTTGGTCTTTATTTCTGGCTAGTTCAAAATCATAATCCTATAGAAAATATTAAATTTTATAAATAAAATGCTATATTTTATAAATAAAATGTTATATTTTATATAAAAACATGATTGATACATCAAGTATTTTAATTAATAGGGATTAATGCAGCACTCTTTATTTATAGTGCTTTTAATAATAGCATTTCCTTTGCAAGTTTGGCCATTCTATTCAATTTTAGTGGCAGAACTCCCTGACTTTCTTAGCCCATCAATTTGGCTCTTTATCTGCAGCCAGTTCAGCAGTTGAGTAAGCCAGTGAATTTACTGGGTAACTTTTCGCACATACTCATATAGGTATATATGCAACGCTTACATAATCGTGAGCATGACCCCCACTTGGCAGGTGGTTCTACATTACGGCCAACGCACACACACTGCGAGAATTTCCCCCCCCACTTCTGTGCACAAATGTCACAACTTGTTTATGCCGCTTTGCTCTAACGAAATTTGCTTTGATGTTCAGCGAGTTGTAGCTGTGCTGTGCTTTTGTTTTTGTTCTTGGTTTTCATACTGGGCGTTGATGTGCGCTCCACTGACCCCCCGAACACCCTTTGACCCTAAACCCCCCCCACTCGTGAGCCACTGCATCGTGTTGGCTTATTTGAAGTTAAATTGTTTGTTAAATGTTTTAATGCGTTTGAACCCATCTAGAAATGTCCCCCCTTTTTCTGTGGGAATATTAGCTGAAGACTGAGCTCCAAACAATCATTTTCCACCCACTCACACTTTTTATGGCGCCGCGTTTTACTATTTTGTCGAATTTTATTTATTGCTTTCACACCATCCACTCTGGTCGAGCGATCAATTAAGTTGTCATTTAATTTTGATTGTGCGTGATTGTGGCCCGCATGTGAAATAAACATTGGGAAAGTTGCGGACGAAGCAACGATGATGTACGAATGCCCTTCTGTGTTTTGGGATTCAAAACTTTATAAAAATGGAAACAAATAAAAAAACAAAATTGATTTACCACTGCGTTCTCTGGGGTTTTATAAAATACACCTAAGGTGTCTAAAAGTATGCAACAAAAATTGATTTACCACAGTTCTCTAGGGTTTTTAAAAACTCACCTAAGGTGTCTGAAAGTATGCACCAAAAACTTGATTTTTCCACTGAGTTTTAACAATAAAATTATGGTATCTGAAAGTGTACAATAAAAATGTGATTTGCCACTCGCTTCTCCAGGGTTTTTAAAAATTCACCAAAAGTTTCTGAAAGTATGCAACAAAAATTAAATCTGTGGATCCATGAGAGTACCGTACTTCAAAATATTTGTTTGCATACTTTTAGGTACCATTTTAAGTGAATTAAAAATTTTAGTAAAATGGTAAGAGTTTGGAAACTGTGAATCAACCAATACGTTAGTTCTCTCATTACTATAACCCTTTCTGTATATTTTAGAGATCTTAAACGGCAAGGCTATTTTTAATATGCTTTAATCTCAAATATAACCTTATTTCAAAGCTACAAAACGCCCAATGAAATAGTTTATATATTTTCTTTATGATAGGGTATTAAATAAATAAAATCTCTTTAAAACACACGCCAACTCTTTTTGGTTCGGTTGCTTTTGGGTGTGTGTATCTCAGTCTTTGTGTGGCCAAATTCAGCCCATTATCTGACTGCTTGTTTTCACTCTAATTTATGGCCTACACATCAAGTTCATTGATTTCAGCCTTGTCGTCGCTATCGTGGGCTTTTCTTAATGGCCATTTTTCACGCTTTTACCCGATTAATTGTCAAGCGTTTTTCCCCCAACTTGGATGGCACGCTTCGGAAAAGAAAATGTCATCGTTATCTATTAACTGTTTTGCATTTTGCATAGGCAAATTGCTTAGGCAAAAAAAAATAGCTAATGGACGCCCCTCTTCGCAAGAAATCAAACACCATCACGCACCTTTTCAGTATTTTTGCGTTGTGTTGCTGCCTTTTTCTTGTCTTTTGTTTGGAAATACTTTTACTTTTCTTTAGCTGGTTTCTGCCATGCGTAACCAATGAAAAAAATACATACCTAGATATGAAAAATCATTACTACTTTGGTGAATTGAGTACGTTAACGTTTCCACAACAATTTGCAATTCATTTCAAGCCCACACATGAACCGCTTTTGCAAGCCGAAAGATTTGTAGGAAAATAGCTGGGCTCATTTGCAAAATTGCTTCATTGGTGGTCATTGGAAAAATATGAAAAACAATAATTGAAATATTGTCATCCAGTTTAATACGTACTAAATGTTTTCCTGTTTTACCCCATAAACAACCCGCATTAATTAGTTTACATTAACATACTTTAGCCCACAAAAACTATATTGAACTGTCAGCTGAAATTTCACAAGTTTAATTCGCATGACAAATTTATGCAAGAAGAGAAGATGGTTATTTCTTTTGCCTACCTCGTGGGTTTTATTATTTGCACACAAAAGTTGACTAAAACCGAAGCCAAATATTGCATAAATTGTTGAGAGCCCAAAGAAAAAAACAGAGGCTCTTAGGGCTTGAGTAATTTCGCCTTTGAATAATATCTATACTTTGGCGTGAGAACTACGTTTTATGGCAGTTATGCATAAATTTTGATCTGGATATTTATGGGCATATTCATTTTAAATAATTCGTAGTATTTCGCAAGCTATGCAATGAGAGTTGGCTTTCTTCGATTGAACAATTGTTTTCGGGGGCTTACGTAAGTCCCCGAATTGTTATTAATCTGAAACTTTCAGTTTTTGGCTTACATTCAATGTCCGGCACATGCCATGATTACTTTACTCTTTAATCTATTTTGTATAAAAGGAGTTTTTGGGTCATTATAACGAATTTAGGTCAAGATTGTTTCATCATGTTGGCCAATTCTATTGAATAGAAAGGCTTTCTTGTCTGGCCATAATTAGCACAGCCTAATCTCTTCAAACCTGATAAAGTTTATAGCCCTCGAGCTTCTAACTGGAGCGTGGCTCTTAATGAGCTGTGCTCGCTCATCGCGGAGTTCTTTACTATCCGTAATTATTTTAAAGTTTTCTCTACTTTTTCATAGCTATATACATTTGGATTTTGCATACACCACTCATATGGCATGGAGTTGAAAAACTACTTTTGCTGTTGGCCAAGTGTGACGCGAAAGTCTTGGCGACAATTTTGAAAAATAACAAAAAATATATAATTACATTCCCCACAACAATAACTGAAGCTGAGATGATGATCAAAGTGAAAAATAAATAATAGTGAAAGGGGCGAGGTAACTTTCGATTAGATAAATCAATGGAGTTTGTGACCTTAAGTCAATATTGTCATTTCATAAGGTTTGGTATTGAAGTACACATCTTAATATATAGAAAATAAAGTGTTGTAATAGATTATATGAGGCATTCTCTAGAAAATTGTCCACTCAAAACTAAGTTGTGATGCCATATTTTTTAGAATTTCTTATATGATTCTGTACGTCAAACCAAACACACAATTATCTGTTTAAGGGTTGTCGCATGTAGGGTTGCCAACCAAGTTAATAAAGCAAAGTTTTTCGACCCCAAATCTTTGAGAAGCTACAACTTTTAAAAGAGTGAAGCGATTTTTATGCAACGAAATGCCGATTTTGTTAAGAACCTTCAAAATTTTGATATGTCCCAAGAATATATTTTATTCTTAATACTCCCAGTTTGTTTTCTGTCATTGCCTATGGAAATCATGGAAATCTTAGTGTTTTAACAAAATTTCTTTGCATTGATCAATATATCGGATATTCTTGTTTCATAGCATTGTCTAAATTCAAATTCATCTTTCGTCAAATGTGCACAGTTTGAATTACCTA